CAGTTTGTGATGTACTTCAGCAAGGGGTCCCTAATTGTAACCTTGAGAATAAAGAGGAGATGGGTCAGAGAAAGACAAGCCCAAGTAGAAGCAGTAGGAGGAGGTTCCTGGATTCTCTAGTTGCTACTGATTTGTAAGGATTTCCATGCATTGATGAATTTCCTCAATAAATATGATGTCATGAACTTTTAAAAGAATGAGATCAGCGGTTTTCATTTGGAGAATCCAGAAGGAATGACACTAGTGAGCACACACAGAAGAGATTTGCCATTTGCTCACACGAGGAAAGTTTCCATTTTGAACATGTTATATTTGARCTGTGTAGTATATACCAGAGTAGATGTTGAGTAGGCAGTTGGCTATATGTCCAAAGTTCAGAGATAGGAGTATAAACTTGGGAATTATAAAACTACAGATGGTATTTAAAGTCACCAACTGTGTAAGGTCACCTGGTGAATGAGAGATTGGCTGCCTGGAAGCCATGTGAAGAAGGTGCTTCGGACAGTTGTAAAAGTTTTTCTGAGGTGTATTGAGGAGAGTGCCTGCATAAGCATGTTTTTATTTTTATTTTTTCACTAAACACAGACAGATTGCTGTATAGAATGTGTTTGCCAGCTTAAATTYCTATCAGCAGTGCACAAGGATTACCATTTCCCCATATCCTTGGCAGTCTGTGGGATTATCTTTCTGACATTTTGCCATGTGCATGGGTAAAGCAGCGGTATGTTGAAGGAGCAGCTCACAAGAGCTGAATGASCATATTTCTTCCCAATTTCTTGTCCAGTGACCTCACACTGGTGGTTTGAAGTCAGTGATGGTAAGAATATGTGCACTATGGAAATTAGCAAATACTACAAATGAGTACTCGCCTCCTCCCAGGGAGCTGGTTTTAAAGTCTGTTCCAGACAGTGGTCACACTGTATTTGAGTATGAGCACCTCTTCTGAGCTTGCTCGCTATCCTAGCCTTCCCTGCCATGAGCTGCCTGCTCTTATCCTTTCCTTATTCTATTTTTTTAAAAAAATATTTATTTTTAAGTTTTAGGTGGACACAATATCTTTATTTTATTTTACATTTATGTGGTGCTGAGGATAAAACCCAGTGCCTCATGCATGCTAGGCGAGTACTTTATCACTGAGCCACAACCCTAGCCCCACCTCCTTTCCTTATTTTTATCTTGGATTTTCTGRTTGCTTTTTATTGACTTCTCCAAAGTTTTTAGATTCTAATCTCTAATTGTTTTTGTATATAGCCCATGTCATTTCCCAATTTGTCAGCTCTTTCAACTTTTTTCTAGGGCTTTTTTAATTGAAGAGAAGACTTATTGTGATACATTTAAATCCTCCAATTTTTTTTTTTCTGTTCTGAATATCAAACCTAGGGCCTCACATGTGCTGGGCAAGTGGTCTACTACTGAGGTACATCCCCAGTTATGCAATCTTGTTTTTCTGAACTGAACTTGTATCCCACATTAACAGAGTTGGTCTCCCACAATTCCTCTCTCTCATATGCAGGTCTTAGGTTTATCTGGAGTTTTCTTTGTATGTATATGGCTTTACCTTTTCTTCATTAACTAAGCCAGTTTTCTCAACATGATCTCTAAATATTCTATATTTTTTCTCATTGGCTTATGGTATCACCTTTCATATATCAAGGTGCGGTTGGTCTATCCACGGGTTTACTTCTGAGTTCTGCATCCTGTCTCATTGCTCCTCTTTTCCCTGGAGCCATACCATTTTGTTTTTATTTCTGCATTTTTACTTTTCCAAATTGACATAACCATTTTAATTTTTTTTTTTTGGTGGTGCTGGGGATTGAACCAGGGCCTTGTGCATGCAAGGCAAGCACTTTATCAACTGAACTATATCCCCAAACATTTTAAATTATATTTCATTATACTTTTTACAAGGTTATTGAGTTATTTAAAATTTTAGTTCCTACTAGAATTTTGGCTATACCAAAACATTGAATTTAGAGATGAAATGGGCATTTTTACATCTTCATGCTTTCAATCTTCATTTATCCAGTCTTCTTTTATGTCCTTAAATAGTTTAAAAATATTCTTCATAACTTTTTTTTTTTTTGCAAGTTTTGGGTTAATTCCTGGATATTGTGCTTTAAAGTTTTATTGCTATGGTGAATGGTCTCTGATTGTCTATTGTATTTCCTACAAGGTGTCTGTTTGGTTCTAAGGTCTTGGTCCCCCTACATTCAAATTATGGAAATGAGTTCTTTTCTTCTTCCTGTGAATGAAATCCTGCCTAGTACCTGCCCACAGAAGAGCAGGATGCTTGCCCTCTTTTGCCTATTTCCTCTAACTCCTTTCTCAAAGTATGGGGTTCTGACAGCTGCTGAGAACTTTTCTGAAGCTAACTGAATTTCTGAGTGATCCCTATTACTCTGTGCAGCCATTTCTGGGTTCTTACAGCCTAGAGGGACACCTTATATAGGTGAAGCAAACAGTGACTCAACATATGCTTTCAGATCAGACAGGCTTAAGTTTGAATCTCATTTTTGTCCCAGAATACATGAAGAAAGTTATACAGCTTCCCAGAGTCCATTTCTCCATTTGAAAAGTGAAGACTAATAAGATCTGGTAGGTAAAGTGATACACAGTGGACATTCAGAAGTTGCCTTTTCTCTACACTGATATCGACCACCACTGTAGACCCCTTCCTTGGTTTGTTGCTATATTGCAACTTCAGCAGCTGCTATTGGATCATATTCCATGTGCCTTTCCAATGGATAGTTCCAGCTCCAAGTTCTGGTTCTGTATCATTGTCCAATATCATTCTTGATAATTGGACAATACCTAGTTAATAAGACTTTGTGAGGGGTTGATGGGGGTGGTTCCGTAGAATATGAGTCCAGTGGGTACTTGTATTCATGATGATGGGCAGGGGAGTAACTTCAGTTTTTGAAATAAAGAACCAGGTGAGTTAGGGACTCTTTCTGGTGACATGGTGTCCTGGGAATTAGTCTATGTATTGTATGATGTTGGGTGTAGCAGAAAAAGCCAGTGATCTGGCTGGTTCTAACAGAGACCTTTGTTAGGGCTAATAATGGCTCAGCTAGCCACACCCTGTCATCTACTAATAGTATTAACTTAGAGGGATGATTTAAATCAGCAATAAAAGCAAACTGAATACTTGTGGAAATTTCACCAACAGTTCCTTCTGTTACAATAGATCTTTATGAGTTTCTGTGACAATAGTCCTCATTTACAGTTGTTTAAGGTTCACCAAAGGCAGACTGCCTTCCCTCTTGTAACCAATTGAAGAGGGAGGTGGGTAGGTTAGACAAGAAAAAAGTATTAGGAAAACAGGGAAAGGGAGGTGGAGTCCTCATAGGGAGGAGGAAGCATCTGTGTCACATTATCTCTGAGAGTGCATGAAGATGCAGAGCCTGCAGGGACAGAGAAGCTGGCAGCTGACCAGGGATGTGGGATGGTGATGGTATTTAATATTGCATAAGCACCGTGGGTTTTAGTTGGCAGTGTGCTCCACCCAATTCAACAATGTGATGTGACTACTACAAACAACCATTTTGATATTTTGAGCTATGKTCACAGAAGCATAGGCGTAGAAAGAGGTGGCAGGCTCACTCCTCTCTGCATTCAACAGGCCACCCATTCATTCCCGAGCATCACATTTAAGAGGGCTCAAGACAATCTGTGATACATCCTGAGGACTCCTTCAGCATGCTGGTGAGTAGGTTTGTAACAATGTTATATAAGTCACAGCYTATGAGACAGACAGTGCTTAAATTGGAGTCAGACTTGATCTGAGTTTCCAGGGTAGAAACAACCAAAAGGGGAGGACTGGCAGGGAGCCAGATGTTAGCTCCCAAGGAAGGAAAAACATTTCCAAAAAGCTGGTCTGAGGCAAGTTGGCTATTTTACGAGATAGTGAGTTTTTTGTTACTGGTGTTCAACTATAGCCACTGTGGGAGATGTTCTAAGAAGGAATGAAGTAACTGGAAAGTTTTTTTGTCGCCCCCCCCCCCCCCCAATCAATGGTGCTAACAGGAAAAGATGTTCTGGTATGTGGTGTGCACTCATTTCAGCTCTTCCAGAGACATTGGTGACATTCCTTCAGTCATTGATTTATTCAACATATTCCTGCCAGGCATTGTGCTTGGTGAACATGGAAGGACAGCAAAACAGTGTGTGCCTCAAAGAGTTGTTATGGTGTGACGCTATTGACTCAGGCTTAAAAACCTCAGTTGTAGTCTCATTAGGTCTCYGCCTGAAAGGGACACAGGAAAACGTCAACACCTTTCTTTTCACTGAAAGGCAGAACCAGGAGGTGAGTGTCCACAACTGTTAGGTGTCAYAGTTTCACCACTTTCAAATTCTTAGGAGATAGAAAAGGAGATCAGGATGATGTAAGTAAGGTAGGGGAGGAGGGAGCAGAGTAGGGGACATCAACTCCTGCAGTGACTACTCCCTTCTCCCCTCTGCCTCCTCACTGCTCAATGTGGGTATAGCATTGACTAGGGTTTCTACAGCAAGATCTGCAAACAGATAATTGACTGATGGATCTAATCTAGAAGGTTCAGGTCTGCATGCCTACACTACTCGAAAAGGGTGAGACACTGTCCCTGCTCCTAAGAGCAGTGGYGGAGACTCTAGCCCAGGATACGAGTGAGCAAAGCAGGCCAGGCTGGCACAGCTAAGGGCTCTAAAGAGGAGGATRTAAGCAGCGCCAAGAGCTGCTGCACCAAATGTCTGTCCGGCCAGGGGGGGTTCCTGGGAGAACTTGGCTTTGCGGCGCTGGACAGATCCCCGCTGCCGCAGCCCATGCCCGGGAAAGTCACGAAGTCCATCAGACTGTGCTGGCGTCGAGGACCCGCCGCGCTGCATGCGGCTGATCTTCCGCCTGTTGAGGGGCGTAGGGGCGCAGGCGGCAGGCGAGCGGGCGCAGGCGCGTGCGCCGGGCTGAGGCCGAGGCCTGCGCGCAGCCGGGGCTGCTGCACTGCGCGCGCGCGCCGACCCGCGTGGGGCCCGGCTCCGGCGCGCGCGGCGCGGAGGCTGCCGGCGGGAGGGGCGCGGGAGAGGTCGGGGAGCAGCGCAGTGGGAGGTTCCGCGGCGGCCACCGGACACAGCCGCCCGCGGCGAGCGCGCTATCGGTTTTTCCTTCGCGCCCCCGCGTYCCCAGCTGGCTCTCGGAGAGGACCTGGAGGAGGCAGGTGGGGCGGGGCGCGCGGGGCCTCCTGGGCCGCGGGTGGGAGGCAGGCTCCAAACCTGGGAGGGTGGCGGCGCGGTACCGGGAGCTGTTGGCGGTTCGGGGAGGGGGCGCGGTGGCGCTGGGGGCTCTGGAAGCCTCACGGCCGCCTCCTGTGGGCGTTGGTGTCACCCGCTGCAGGGAGGCCTCCCTGGGGCGGCGCGGCCCACAGGGCAGAGATGTGGGGTCTGGTTTCCGCAGCTGTCAGACTGTTTAACTTTAGCGTGAGATAGGTGTCGCGGAGTGTGCGGGTCCCGCAGGGCCATGCGGAGCCGGGCAGAGCTGAGTTCTGGCCCACGCTCTGCAGCCGCTGCGGTGGCGGCCGCGGACGCCCTAGGAGTCCTTCCCAGGCGCATTGCTGTGCACCATCCGTCGTGGTTTATCCAGACATCAGCCTCCTTAGGTTTCTTACTCGCTACCCTTACACCCCCTTGTTTATTAAATAGTTGAGAAAACCGTTTGCCCAGTGGGTATTCAAAACTAAACCGTCTGACTTTCCTTCCAGTGCTTTGCTACCTTGGAATTCCTTAATTCTAAATCATCTGCGTTGGTAAGGGAAGTTGGAAGAACACCTGAACTGAGACCTGCCCTAAACAGACACACGTTTTAGCCCGTGTCCTTATGGATGAGATTGATGGGTTTACAATGTTAGCATTCTTTTGAATGAGATGTGAARTTTTACACTTCATCCAGAGACTGTCCAAAGGCCATTTGGATTTCAACTGTTCTGAGACAATGTTTTTATACGTATCAGAGGATGATACTCYGAGGGGATACTTATTTTCTGTATGTTTCAAGCTAGGCTGTGGCTCATATTGTAATATCATAGTATAAAACAGTGCCTTTGTTATAATAAATACCTTCCTCTACAAAACATTCGTCACATACTTTATACTTCACTTTCACTTTGACACTTATCAGTTATATRAATCTCCTGCACAGTTCAAAGTGAGTGTCTAAATGGCCCAAGAGCAGGTGTACAGGACAGGGAGGGAAAGCAGAGACTTGAAAATGGTAAAAGTCTGTTCCCTACATTTTTATGATGCAAAATCCTCTGCTTCCATCCTAGTTTGCTAATGTGAATATGCGTTTTTTTTTTTGTAATGCTTTCATTTGATATGGACTACCTGGGCTGAAAGATTGAATCTTGGAATATGACAAATGTGTTCACTTCTATTTTGAAGAAAATTTAGCACATGGTATACCATTYGTAGGCTTTATTTCTAACATTTTGTGTTTACCAAATATAGTCCCATCAGCAAGACCTTTTAAACAGGTGATAATTATGTGGTGTTTTATTGCTCATAACAACCCTAGTTTTGAAATATATAAATTAGTGATCTTAATAGGATCAGCTTCACTCTTTCTCCTTGTTTAAACCTACAATTATCTCTTTACTAAAAGTCTAACAGTTCCCTCATTAATTATTTATAATAATGCTTCTTGGACTTGCTTAGAGAATTAGCCTTTGTTTTTTCTTGATTCAGGCATCTGTATATATTTTTTCATTTTAGAGAGTAAACTGCACTGTTTTTCTGCTGTTTAGTACAACTTTCTGTGACGAAGTGTTCTTTGTGCACTTGTGCAGTATAGTAGCATTAGCCAAAGACAGCTTGAGCTTTTGAGCCCCTGAGTAGAGCTGAAGCCATGGATGAACTGAATCTGAAATTTAATTTAAATAGCCACGTGTATCTGGTGGCTTCCTAGTTGGACATCACAGCTTTTAATTATTAATGCCCCAGGAATCCTTCACTAACCATCTTGAGTCTGTGCTCATAGTTTGCAGCTCTTCTCAGCCACAGCACTTGTTAYAATTACAGTGTAATCACAGCTTTCTCATAGAAATTCAGTGCTAGGCTGGAATCTACATGAGGGCAGAGGCAAATCCACTTTCTTGGCATTTGATAAGCCCAGTTTAGGGCTTKGTAAGAAACGATAAATATTTGTTGAATGCATAACTGAACTTGGAGGCAGGTGTCTTACTTTGATATTCTCTTTAGGGCCTAGGGGGGGTAAGTGTTCAATGCTATACATACTTGTTTAGTGATTGAATAGATGTTTTGTGGGTAGCAAATGAAAGGATCATTGGAGGTGTGCTTTTCACATGTTAGTCAGTCTTATTTTGGAATCCATGAAAATCAAGTCTCTTGACAGATTGCTGTGGGAAATTGAACGAAGGGCCTTATGATTCTGAAGATCGTGGTTTCCTGTTATTTGAGCAGCTTGAGGATGCTRCTCTTAGCTATATTCTATAAATCAGTGAGGCTCTTTCTAGGGTCCTGTTAGCCCTGAACCACTTGGAAGAAGTTGGTGGACATTTCTTACTACTTCTGTGATGAGGCAGAATCAGGGGTCTCTGAAAAATCAAAAGATAGTAGAGCCATGTGTGGTTCCTTAACAGTTATTTGTTAAACTTTGTTTCTTACCTCTCAAGGAAGCCTCATAGCCTTTGCAGAATATAGGCCCATATTTACTCCCAAACAAGCAGAGGGCAGCAAGTAGAAATCCCGAGTTAGGGAGAAGCTGTAGTGTGAGGGAGGGCTGTCCTTGAGCTTGGAGTTGACAGTGTTTGAGAAAGATCACAATTAGTTTTCTTTCTGTTTATATGGCAAGGTTCATGTCAAAATGTTCAGAGTATTGGGTGACAAGTAATTTTGTAGCATCCAAGAAAATTTAAATACCTTCAAAATAATAACAACTTGTTTAGGTTATTTAATATGCAATATCCCTGTTTATATAAATGCATACTCCTTGAGGAAAAAAGAAAGCATCTTACTCTTACCAGTTTCTTCTAATGTTGAGTCAAATTTGGAAGAAACCCATTAGCTCAGAGAAATGATGGTTTCCTTGGAGAGGGGTGGGATGATAGAGATGATTAAGTAAGTACAAGGTTGGTTAATCAAGAATAGAGCTCATGTTGAGTAATATCTAGTATGGCATTATCTGCGACTAGATCGAGCTATCATTGAAAAACTTTTTCYGTAACTTATTCTATTCTTTCTACTGAAAATAGTCTAAAATCGTTTTTATTTGGTTTCATAATATGATTTTCTGCTTATATTTAAAATATATATATAAGGGTTCAAAACATTTCAGAATAAAGACCTGATGCAAAAGAAACTGTAAAGTTTTTATCTGCATAGTTAAGTTTTACTTAGCATTTCTCTGCTTTCTATGTCATTTCTGAGATGTAGGCTAGGGTAGCACAAGTCTAATTTAGAGCAAATGTATTCTAAGCACTCATGTTTTCTGGGAAATAGAGGTAATAAAAGTGATATGGTTTAAAAGGCATGGCTTTCCATCTTCTGCTAGGATAGAATAAATAGACCCTCGTACATTAAGTGGAACATTCTCAGTAAGCTCTTACATTTGTGAAAGCGACATGATTAATTTTCAGTAAAGTTTTCTGGGATATCAGAAAATAATGGAAACATTCTAAACTAGATTATTTTCATGGGATGAGCACATGGCACCAGCTACTGGATGACAAATGATACAACCCGTGTCAGCATTATAAGAAGTCCAAGATCCACCTGCAGGGATAATATGCTCTTGTTTGTTACCATGAGTAAGAGGATGTCATCTATTTAGAAYAGCTCAGCATTTTAAACTGTTTTTTACCTATTATTGGGAAATATCTTTTTACCGATTATAGTTTATTATTCTTGAACTCTGTCTAGAAGAGATTATGTATGCTGCTGACTGGATAAGAAGCAGTATGAAGCAATGTGTATTTTACACAACAGTTTTGCTAAGAGAACTGTTTTCCTGTCATAAAAGAGACTCTTAAAGATTGAAGTTGAAAATGTCACTAGCTTAGATATTAAAAGAATTTTAGCATTTTTTGTGATTGAAGGCAATCATTCAAAATTGCATATAAATAAAGAAGAAATACTTTATTTTTCCCTTTTCTTTTTCACTTAGGTGGCTTCCTAGAAGATGACCATAGAGGACCTTCCAGATTTTCCATTAGAAGGAAATCCTTTGATTGGAAGATACCCCTTTTTATTTTCAGGTTCTTATACACCAGTTATCTTTTCCATTTCTGCTGCACCAATGCCTTCAGACTGTGGTATGTGACATAACTCTGTTTTCTGTAAACTGGTAACTTGACTTCTGTCTTATGCCCTCTTTGCACTCATAATTTTTTTCTGAAACCATTTGCTCTGGTTTTTATAAAATTGCTAAAGCTTCCCTTTTTCAAAATACAATCGCTTATTGCATTTTCTGCCTCTTAAGCTAAATGCTTTATTTCTGCTGTCAGCATTTTTATTATGTAAAAACGTTAATTTTAAGCACCATGATGGATTTAGAGGATTTTATTTTTAGAATGTAATGGTGCTTAGATATCAAGCATTCTTTTGCTATTGATGTATTTATTTTGGTTAAATACACTGAATTGCTAAAAAAGCCGTGTACTAAGGCAAAGACTRCAAAAGACCCTTCCCTGGAATATGGAATGAGATTGATTCCTGTTTAAATTGGTCCCTTTAATTCTCCTTTGTAAACTGTAAATTTAGAAGTGTCCTAGTCTTTGTCTATTTTGATTTATTTCCTGAGGACTATATTTTATAAGTAGTTGATAAAAGAAAAAGAAAAAAGGAAACCAGGAGGTAAATCTGATAGAATTTCTTACATTTTTAATTTAGAGTTTTTCAGGTAAAATATTGGGTCACTATTTCAAATCGTCTTTGTAGGTAGAAATAATACAATTTTTAAATGTTAGTAGATATAAAGTTATTGGATTAAGAATTTGTCTTTTTACTCATGTTTGTTCTAGTAATTTCTCTTCTCCAAGTTTTCTACATTTTTTTTGTATTCTGGTTCTATAGGAGTTTCATACAGCTGTCACCCAAAGTATTACCTAAAATCTGTACCCCAATCCTGGGAGTTATTTGCAGCTCCCCTTGCCCATGGTGCTGGRGATTGAACCCAGAGGCACTCTACCACTGAGCTCATCCCCAACCCTTTTTAATTTTTAATTTTGAGACAGAGGATTGCTGAGTTGCTGAGGCTGGCCTTTAACTTGTAATCTTCTGCCTCAGCCTCCTGAGTTGCTGGGATTATGGGCATGTGCTACTGTGCCTGGCTTGTTTGCTGCTTTTATAAAAGTTGACTGGGTTTATTTTCAGTTATAACAAAATCATTTATACTGAGGAAACCTTGAACTAAAACCTTGAACATTTTACCTCGCTTATGATGTTTTTTCTATCTTAAATTAGAATCATCTTATTTCCTTTCCTAGACTGTAGGTCTTTGGGATGGAGTAACAGTCACGTTTTATTTTTGCTTACCTAAAGGCTAATACAGCCATTTGTTGAGATTAGTTGTTCAACATTTGATGAATAAATACATTGAATGAAAGATGATGATGAATATAGCTTTGTATAACTGAATTCAAACGTTCCCAGTAGTTCTCAGGCCCTAGATTCTGAGAATCTTTGTGGTCCTGTGCTTCTGCTCTTCCTCCCTCCTGGAATAGAAGGACCATTTGCAGGCTCTCTGACAGATAACCATCCAGCCTCTTGCATATCCTCAGTACTTTTAAACTAATGAAATAGTTAATTTCATCATTAAAAAGCTTTAGTTGTAGTAGATTTGTTTTTGTAAATGGACTAAATTATGTCTCCCTGAAACTTTGGCCAACTGGTACAATATGGGAGAAACACCTCTTTCTATGACAGCCTTCAAGTATCTAAGATAATTTGAACCTTTTCTCACTCTGTGCATCCTTTGGCCACCTGTTTCTAGTTCCCTCAGCAGGTCCTCATTGTCAGGACTTTTAGACTCTTTCCATCCTAGTTATTTTCTTATAAATTGAAGTCAGTGTTCCCTTAAAATGCGGCATTTGGAATTGCATCTGTGGAGCAGACGTTTAKCGAGGGTTTCCCGTGTCCTCGGTTCTGCCCTACCTGCTGGGTTGCCACAGTGACCAAGACAGATCTTTTTGAAGGGAAGACAGACAATAGACAAATAGATGAATTAAATAGAACAAAAATAGATTGTAATGAGTTCTGTGGAGAAAAGAGATGGGTACTGGGGTGGGGAGTCATCGGGCAGGGTGGCTACTCTGACAGATAACCAGAGTSGGGGGGCTTCTCTGAAGAATCGTGAGAGGATCTGGGGAGAAGCATTCTAGAAAGAACTAGGGGGGAAACGTTGGTGTATACTAAGAATTAATAGAAGGCCTATTGCTGAGAAGATAAGCAGCTGAGGGGCAGAGTGGAGGAGGTGAAGTTGGAGAGAAGTCCGATCATGTAGCCCCGAGTGGTCCCAATAAGATTAAAACCAAGAAACAAAACAAACCAGTTCACACAAACCAGGCCTTGGTTGTGGAGCCCACTGTGGACCCTCTAGGTGGCTGCTCCGTGAGCTCTGTGTGTCCTRATGCAAGACAGTTTTGCAATCTTTTGCTTTGAAATGTCTTCAGAGCTAGTTCACCCAGAGCACATGCTATAGATGTCATAAACACCATGATGCTTTCTTTAAATAAGAATGGGGAAAATCTTATTTACTCATTTAGGTTACCATTCCTAGTGCTCTTCCTTCCCATGTGTGGACCCAGATTTCCATGGTACCATTTTCCTTCTGCCTGGCGGCAGGGGGGGGGGGAAACCTCCTTTAATTTTCTTTGACCAGTGATGAATCCTATCAGTTATTTTATGTCCAAAACATGTTTGTTTCACCTTCTCTTTTGAAAAACAGATTTGCAGGGTGTATAATTCTAGGTCCTTAATTGTTTTCTTTCAGTATTTTAAAGATGTCCCTCTACGGTGTCCCCTCTTGCATTGTTTCTGATGGGAAATCTGCCATCATTGCTATCATTTTTGTTTCTCTGCATGTAATGTGTATTTCCCCTCCTACCCCCAGATGCTTTTAAGATTTTTTTCTTTATTACCAGTTCTGAGCAATTTTACTATTATGTACCCTAGGATAGTTTTCTTTATGTTCTTGTGCTTGGAGTCTGTTGAGCTGCTTGCATCGGTGGGTTTCAGTTTTCATCAAGTTTGGGAAATCATTATTTCAGGTCTCTTTTCTATTCTTACCATTTTTTTTTCAGAGACCTAGGTTACATATATGTTAGACTGCTTGAAGTTGTTTTTCCATAACTCTCTGATTATTTTTCATTTTCTAAAACATTTTTCTGTGTTTCATTTTGGATTGTTTTTACTAACAGTATCTTCAAGTTTCTTAATCTTTTCTTTTACAGTGTCTAATTAGATGCTGATCTCATCCAGTGTCATTTTCATTTCAAATGGAGTTTCATCTTTTAAGTTGGATTTGAGTCTTTTAAAATGTCATCCACGTCTCTCAACCTTTGAACATTTAGCCTATAGCTATAGTGACTATTTCAGTGTTCTTTCCTATCATAAATCTGTCAACTCCAGCACTGTTTTGATTTATTATCCTCTTGATGGTGCATCCCGTCTTCCTCTTGCCTTGCATGCTTCGTAGTCTTTAACCAGATATCAGATGTTGTGAATTGTACCTGGGTGGGTGCTGGCCAGTTTTGCATTTTTGTAAGTTTTTTTTTGAGCTCTGTTCTGTGGTTATTATTCTCCATGCCTGAGTACTCTCTTCAGTGCCCTGTGAATTACRGGAATTTTGTTTTTCAGTATTTCTGGTAGGTGTGAGCACTGATCCTGCTGGGTATCTGAGGAGGCACCTCTGTAGATCTCTGGGGTTCTCGCGTAGCACCCCTGTTTCTTCTGGAACTCTGCCCTGTGACCTCTTGCCAGCTTGGTTTCTGTGATACTCAGCTCAATCTCCTCAAATCAGGGTATCCATAGGGCTTTTTTTTTTTTTTGAATCCTCTTTCCTACACTGAGACCTGGAGACTCCCAGGGTAGTAGCTTGGGGCTGTTGAAAGACTCAGCCTGTTTGTATTCTGTTCCTAGAAGTTCCTGTCTTTCCAGTGCCTCGTGTCAAGTTCTTTGACAACCATTGCTAGCTCCTCTGGTGTTTTGGCTATTTCAGATGGGAGGGAAGTATGTTCCCTGTTATTCCTGACATCTTCCCCAGTTCTTCTTTTACCTCACTTCATTTTGATTAATTTTTTTCAAAGTATGGAAATTTAAAATKTGAATGTAGCTGGATGTATTAATTTATTTAATCATAGAATAGGGATTTATTTATTTATTTATTTTTCTAATTAGTTATACATGACAGCAGAATGCATTTTATTTTATTATACACAGATATGGAGCACAACTTTTCATTTCTCTGCATGTACACAATGCAGAAGTTGCACCATTTGTACAATTATACATGTAYCCACGATGTCTGTTTCATTTTAGAATCTTACCTACCCCTATGCCCCCTCCCTTCCTCCTCTCTCCTTTGCCCAAGCCAAAGTTTCTCCATTCTTCCCATGCCCTCTCCCCCAATTATGGATCAGCATCCACTTATCTCGGAGAGAAACATTCGGGCTTTGGTTTTTTGGGATTGGCTTACTTTGCTTAGCATGATATTCTCCAACTGCAAATTTATCTACAAATGCCATAATTTTATTCTCTTTTAATGCTGAATAATATTCCATTGGGTATAGATACCACAGTTTTTTTTATCCATTTATCTGTTGAAGGGCATTTGTGTTGGTTCCACAGTTTAGCTATTGTGAATTGAGCTGCTATAAACATTGATGTGGCTGCATCACTACAGTATGCTGATTTTAAGTCCTTCAATTTGCAGGCCACCAGCAATGTATGAGTGTACCTTTTCCTCCACATCCTCACCAGCACTTATTGTTGTTTGTATTTATTGATAATTGCCATTCTGACTGAAGCTAGAATAGGGATTTAAATGAAGAGTCATGCTGGCTTTAATTGTAGGTAAATTGCTTATTTTCCTTGTCCATTTGTTTCTTCAGATAAAATGAGAATGATAATAGTACCTATTACATATGGTTATTATGAGAATTAAATAAATTAATATACATACAGTTMATAGCAAAGTTGCTGGCACCTATTAAACACTTAATAAATATAACCTATTACTGTTTATTATCCAAATACACAGTCTGCTATTTTGCAACATTTTTCTCTTTTTTTCATTTTTTGGTTCTTTTTAGAC